AAAAGCCTGCAGCCACAAGGTCTGTCTCACACTGGCTTGGCCCTGGGAAGTGAGTGGGTGTGCTGGCGGCTGCACTTGAACCTGGATTTAATGATACCCTTCGTCAGCTTCATCCTCTGCTGATGCCGCCATTTGAATCTCACAGCTGTTGAATCGCTTGTGTGTGTCTTCTATGTTCCCATTTCAAACTAAGAGAGCATGGAAAAATGCACAGGGCCACATAGAGAACCCTACTGGGCAGTGAGTCCTCTTGTCAGAACACTTAGCAAGAGAGCCAAGACCATGCTTCTTCGCATAGGCCCGACCTTTGTGTATCATTCAACCCACATTCTCCACCTGGTAACCTATGGAAAAGGCTTTAAAGATCTAGGTCAAGCTCAGATCCTACCCCACCACTCACAGTTAACCAGTAACCTGCCCAGGTAGTTGGGGACCCTTCTGCGGTTGATACACAAATTTACAGGGTGCATCTGTGGAGCCACATGTCCTTTGTGACCACCCGGAGTGTGGGACCACACCCGTGCTTGTCACCTGGCTCTTTGATCCCAGGCAGGTGACTTCTCCTTGTTGAGACATGCCAGAGTCCACACTGGGGTTCCCAGTGCAACTTGCAGGTTATGCTGTACAAGGGTTGTCAGCGTCTTTATTTAGCCATGAACCAGTTCTTTCAACAAGATCAGACACTGAAGTCCAATAGATACTTAAAACAATGGCGTCTAGAATTACCTGGCAGGAAGCAGAAACAAATGATTGATCCCTAGGCTGGTCAACTTCCATCCCACCGAAACCAAACCCTCTCTCACACAGATACACATACATACATACACACACACATACACACACACACACATACACCCACACATACACCCCCACACACACCCCACACACACATACACACACACACACACACACATACACCCACACATACACCCACCCTCCCCACACACACATATACACACACACACACATACATACACCCACACATACACACACACATACACACACACTCACACACACTCACACACACACACATACATACATACACCCACACATGCACAGGAACACACACATACACACATACATATACTCTCACATACATATACCCAGACATACACATGAACACACACACACACACACACACACACACACACACACCACTGAGGCACTTTGAAGAAGCTCCAACACTCTAATCCAGGGCAATTGGAAAGATACTGGTAGTCTTATCATTCATGTTATAGACAAGAAAACTGTCCCAGGTCTTTCCTGTCCTCCTGTCACTGGAAGACACAGATGGCCACCCACATATTTGAAATGGCTAGCCTGAGCAGAGGCTAGCCTAAGCAGGGGCTAGCCTGAGCAGGGGCTAGTCTGAGCAGGGGCATGCTCTAAAGTTTGAAAGGCACAGAGGATTTTAAAGAGGAGTTACACAATCAACAGGAATCTGAACTGTCATTGATATATTTTTTAACTGAAGACATTTTAGTCTACATTTGTCTGTTTATGTATGCAGACCTGTGAATGCATGTATGTCACAGCGTGCATGGGAGGTCTGAGGACAAGTTGGGAAGGTTGGTTTTCATCTTCCACCAGGTACATTCTAGGGGTCAAACTCAGGTCACCAGGCTTGACCCTTCCCACCAGGCTATCTCACCGCCCTAGAGGAGGATTAATGAGGAATGTAGGGCCTGGAGAGGTGCTCAGTGGTCAAGAGCACTGGCTGCCCTTTCAGAGGACCTGGGTTTGAGTCCCAGCATTCACATGGCAGCTCACTCATCTGCAACTTTATTTCCAAGGGACTCTGTGGGCACCAGGCACACACATGGCACATGGAATTACATGCAAGCTAAACCCTCAGATGAACAAAATAAATATTTAAAACAAACAAACAAATGTACTTAAAATGAGTCTCTCTTGCTTTCTTAATAGGATCACCAGAAATTCAAAATGACCTAAGTGGCTCTCATTCACATTGTCTTGTGATTCTATGGGACGCGTTCTAAATGCCTTCTCCAGAGGTTCCTGGATTGGTGGTGGTGGGTCAGGACTCATGGCTCCTAATTCTGCAGGCCTCACCCCTCCGTTCTCTGTTGCTGGAGTACACGAACCACTGCTCCCAGTAACATCCACCCTGGACAGCTTCATTGAAGAGAATGGGATAGGTGGGTTAGGATTTCTTTGGTGTATCAGAGGCAATGCCGTGGAGATAGGAAGGGCTTGCATCTAGACCTGACTTGATTTCCCTCTCTGCCTTAGATGCCAATTATCTGTAAAGTGAGGGCGTACGTTTACAGACATCCAAAGCTCTATTCCAGCTCTGGAATTCGGCGCCTTTGAACTTTTCATAGTCACCTGTGCTCTTCTCTGCTTGCGACCACTGTTTGCTTGTGTTTAGTTCAGGCTGGCACTGACCTCACCACTCTGCTGCCTCCTCCGGAGTGGGTTTCCTGGTGTGAGCTACACTGCAGTCGATCCCCAGTTTCTTTGACTGTGATATTCTTGCATCTACTATGTTTCCCTTCCTCCAAGTTGCCTCCTCCTCCCAGCCAATTTCTGCAAGCCGAAGTTCCTCTGGGAAGAGAAGAGGCCTTCCTAGACGAGGCAGAATTGCTTTCCTTCCCCCTTGCTTCCCAAAGGCCAAGACAGAATAGCTACCCGCTTTTCTCTCTAACCCAGTCAGGGAGGACGTGAGGAGAGGTGGGAGGGCAGGTGCATGGCTAGAATGGGAAGAATAGGGCAGCAGACACAGGAAGGGAACGAGACTTAGAAACTCCTTCTGGAAGAGATGCTTAGTGTTCTAACTGAACTGTAAAGTCATAGAAAGCAGAACCAGGCCTGCCCTGGAGAGGACTGTCGCATGCAGGACCCAAGCACACTACCCAGCAGCAGAGAAATGGGAAGCAGCCCCCCTGACACTGGCTTACGGCCCCTGCTTTTTATTCATGACACACTTATAAAAGCCGCAGTGATAGAGGTAGATGAAACGCATGCCCAGACTGAGAGAAGCAAACATTTACTAACCTTCCTCCCCTCCTCCCCTGCTTGTAGGAAGCAGAAACACCCAGACATTGTTTGAAATCAGGGAGTTACCAGCTTCACAACTGAGCTCCCTGGCAGAAGGCCAGGCACACCGTCAGTGCGTGGGAGCAAGCAGCGTTCTCGGGGCTGGGTCGGAAGTTCCAGAGTTGACAAGCAGTTACAGCTGGATTCAGCTGGTACCTAAGGGTTTAGGATCTAATTATTTCTTCCTTTCTCTTTTATTTTTCGAGACAGGGTTTCTCTGTGTGGCTCTGGTTGTCCTGGAACTCGCTCTGTAGACCAGGCTGGCCTCAAACTCACAAAGATCTTCCTGCCTCTGCCTTCCAAGTGTGGGATTAAAGGTGTGCGGCACCACACCCGTAACTGTTTCTTTACAGTGCACTTTACCTTGATATTGATGCACTGCTAAGCCCATGGCGGTGGTCTGCTTTCTTGATTTTTTTTTTCTGTTTGATATTTTTGTCTCTGATGCAGTAAAGACACTAGAAGCTTCTTTTGGGCCACATTTGACAGGGCTTAGGTCAGAGTAATGTGAGGAGTGTTCTGAGAGGCTGGCCTGTGGCACTTACTGTGTGCATTTGAAAGGCAGCTTGAACCCAGAGTCTCTTGCCGTTGGAGGACCTCCTAGAGTGGATGTTCCAGCGAAGGCCGGCACCAAACAACACTGGAGGCTCCTGTGACTGTTTCCTGCTGGGGGCCTTCTGGAGACCCATGTTTCCCCCAGGCCTTGCCGTCCTGTCTCTCTTCCCCATCCAGTTTCTTCCTCGGTGGCCATCGCCTCTGCAGACCCCGGTGTGTCTCTTGAGAACAGTGTTGGGAGGCCTGGGCTTCATGCCTGGAAGAACAGCCAATGACCCTTCCCCCCACCCAACTTTAGGGTGGCTGCAGTATCACCAAGTGTCACTGTCCTCTCTGGCTGCCCAAATGAAGCACCGTACTCCAGTGGCTCACACCAGAAGTTAGACCTGATTCCTCAGGGTTCTGCAGGTTGTAAATCTGAGAGCCAGATGCCAGCAAGCTGGTTTCTTTGGCAACCACTCTGCTTGGCTTGCAGGTGGCAGCTACACCCTGTACCTCTGCGTGGTCTCCTTTTTTGTTATGTCTTCTCTTATAAGGACTCCAGTCATATTGCATGAGGGCCACCTTGTACTATTTCTTGAATCAGCCTGAGCCTGGGGCATTGTGGGGTCAGATTTCAACATGGGAATCAATGAGCCCAGAGCACTGACTCAGGGAGGCTGAGATCTTACTGTATCCGCAGCCCTGTGCAATATCTGAATAATCCAGTGGTACCGTTCCACTCTCTGTCCTTACAAAAATACCCATTTCCCTAGCCCTTCTGAGAGTCCTGGACTAGTCATCTCTAGGGCCTCAGGTTCTGGGTGTCCAGATGTTTTCTGGAACGTGCTCCTTGGGGACTCCAGTGTTGACTAGCCGGTGTCCAATGTGCTGGAATTGCCTCCCCTGGCTGTCCTTCCCAGTTCAGCTGAGGCAGACACTGAGGCCCAGAGAACCAGAAATGTCACCTGACCTAGTGATCTAACCCTTTAGTCTGGGTATCCCAGCAGGCAGACGTTCCCTGGGGGCACGGGTTTCCAAGGGTCCTGAAGCCAGCGGTCTCTGCATTAAATAGATACTGGAAATGGAAGGATGTCAGAGTGTGTCTGGTTTCCCATAACTCCTTCAAAGCAATTTCCTGGTGACGCCAGTGCCAGTGGAGAAGACAGGATCATGGGGTCTAGACAGGACCCCCTAGGTCCTTTTTTTCAAGAGCCATTTAGTCACGTCCCTTCTGAACCAGATCAACAGGGTCTCCTTTGCCCTGGGTCTTGGAAGTCAGCTCTGTTGTCCAGGATCCCTCTTCTGGGATTATTACATAAGCACAGCTCTTGCAACTCCTTGCCCGGAGACCGTGTTCCTGGGTGGTCCTTCTTGGGTGGGTCTCTGGGCATAGAAACCCCATGCCACATTTCCTCCTGGGCTTTGCAGGAGGATCCAGATCCTGCCTCATACAGCTCAGCTCCAGCTTATTTGGGAGATTAAGATCAGAGATGCTGTGGAAGGGCCACGTTTTAACAAGGTAGAAAGCACAAGCTATTCAGAAGTCTCGCCTACTGTGCAGAACCCCCCCCCCCTCACACACACACACACACACCACACCCTGGCTCCAGAGACCTCTCCCATAAAGATGCTATCACGGGGTGAGGAAAGAGTCACCCCACTCCCAGCAGGCTTCTAGTCAGAAGAGCTTCACTTTCAATTACCGGCAGCAGCTGTGGAGGCCACTTATGTAACGGGCTCCGCGCCTCCTCCTTGGGAGGTGGGGAACCATTTGGTGTGTGCTAAATAATGAGTCATGGTCCGAGTGAGGGAGCAGAGAGCGGATTTCTCCCTGGAATTGCTTCATCTGAACCTCTAGTAAAGAATGGTGAGTGAGTCAGAGCTGGCAGGGCTTGCCCAAGGCAGGGAAGCACTGCCGTGGGGTGGGTCTAAAATGCAGGTCCCCTCAGGGATCCCCAAGGGCCGCTGAAGGAGGCTTTGGGGTGGGAAGCCCAGCTGGGTACTTGATGAGGAGACTCACGTTTGTGAGCTGTGTCTGACCTGCCAAGGGCTTGTCTTGAGAGCTTCAGGCCTTTGCCAGGCCTAGCCAGGGCCCAAGAGTGTGGGGGTGAAAAGAAAGCCTTCGGAATGAACAGAATTAACCCTAGAAAGGTGAAGTGTGTCTGGGGGTGGGGGTGGGGTGGTGGGAGGACACAGTGATTTGTCTCCTTTCATGCTTCTGAGAAATCCAGTCAAAATATAGTTTCTGGGCCAGCAAGATGGCTGCAGGCAAAGGCCCTGGCCCACAAGTGTGATGGCCTGTATTCAGTCCCAGAGGTTTGTCTCCTAGGCGATTCTACAGCCTGTCCAGTTGACGATATTAACCATCATGGTGGAAACAAAGAGTCAGCTCTGCCCTCCAGAGGCACACGGAGAGGCACACACACCCTACAACACACAGGCTTTTCAGCGTGGCATCAGGAAGCGAGAGCCTGCCCTCCCTCTCCACAGTAAGCCCCGGCTAAGCCCCTGCGAGTCTGGAGCGGTGTGCAGGGCCTCTTACGAAGCTGGTCAGGTCTGTTCTCTGTTGTGGTGGATGTGGTGTGTTCAGAGAACCGACCTGATGGACAATGTGGTAGTTAATATTATCAATGGGGCAAGCTGTGGAATCACCTGGGAGATAGCTCTGTGGGGGAGTTTCCGGACTGCGTTCATTGAGGAGGAAAGACCCACCGTAACTGGGCAGCCCCACCCAACTGACTAAAAGGAAGGCAAGAGCTGTGAGCACCAGCAGCGTTCACCTCTCTCAGCTTCCTGACTGCTGATGTGAAGACTGTGACCGGAGACTGTGACCAGCCGCCTCACCCTCCTTCTGCATGAACTCTCTCCAACTGTGAGCTACAATGGGCTTTTAAGTCACCTTTGCCAACCATTCTGTCCCACACTGAGAAGTAAGTAACAGGAAAGGTTTTGTTCAGTGTGCAAACCTCTGCGAGCTGAGCCCTCCCTCCTGGAAGCAGCATAGCCAGAGGTCAAAGGTCAAAGTGCCTGGTTAGAATCCCTGCTTGGCTATTTATCCCAACTCTGCCTCTGGGGTACAGTTACTGCCTTTGTGTTTGTGGGGGTCCTCATCTGTGACGTGGGACACCAAGAGCCTCTCTATCACAGGGTAGTTTTGGAGACTGAGGGACACTCGTAAGGTATTTAGTGTTGGGGGTGCTCTTTAACCCTGTTATCATCACCATGATTTTATTTGTTTGTTTGTTTGTTTGTTTGTTTGTTTACTTTTGTTGGCCTGGAACTTGCTCTGTAAACCAGACTGGCCTTGAACTCATCGATCCATCTGCCTGTGACTCCCGAGTGCTGGGATTAAAGGCGTGAGCCACCGCTGCCCGGCTCTCGGCACCATTATTTAATTTAATGCCAGCTTAATTTTCATCTCTAGTGATGTCTATCAAAATATACATTAGAACACACAAGCAGGTTTATGACCAATCAGGTACGGCTCTTATAGAACTAGCAAAAATTTTCTTCCTTACAGAATGGGAAGCAGTATAGCATTAATATATAGTGAAGATTTAACAAAACCAAGTTTGCTGAGCTCAGAAAGCAACCATTAAGTAATGAGTGTCTGGACTATAACTACCAACTCCGTGTGTTGAATCCAGTCACATAAATGTAGCTGAAAGTTTTCCTGTGTCCCGGCCTGCCAGCGGTTGGGACAAATCTCTCCCACTCACATCCATCAAGTAACACACAGAAGCTTATATTAACTATAACTGCATGGCCATGGCTCAAGCCTTTTGCTAGCTAGCTCTTATATCTTAAATTAGCCCATAGCTATCAATCTATACATCACCACATGTTCCTTGGCTTTACCTGCATCCCATTACATGTTGCTCCTTGGGCTGCTCACTGGTGCCCCCCCTTCTTCCTCTCTCTCTCTCTCTCTCTCTCTCTTTGAATTTCCTGCCTGCCTCTAAGCTGCCTTGCCATAGGCCAAACAGCTTTATTTATCAACCAATCAGAGCAACACATATTCACAGTGTACAGAAAGACATTCCCCCATCACATGAATTCTGGAGTTTCTTATCCCATGTGATCACGGCTATCCACCCGTGCTGATGGTGTCAACATGAGCAAGGAGTTAAATCCACAGACTCTAATTTGACACAAACTTCTCAAGCCATTTATCCTGGTGTTGGAGAAGAGACAGGACTGTTCTTAGACTCCTCGTGGGTGGTTTTTTCAGCTTCTGTTGTGACTGGATTCTGTTAACTGACCACAGAGGTAGGAGGACACTCTCCTCAGACTGGCCCTCCAGCCCTTTGGCTCTAGATGGATGTATGTGCTATAGGAAGAGCTGGGGCAGCTGCGAACCTGACCTCATCACTGCCACCATAATCCTCACCCCACATAACATCCACATTTAGGGAATGCTCACTGTGCATTGGGCACAGTGCTGCAGGACTTTATACATCTGCTTGTGTTTCACCTTATGATGATGTCATTGGTTTACTGTTGTCTCCCTCTGAAGGCTGAGAGAACCATGTCCATGACAGGCTTACAACCTGTTCGTGATCCCAAGCCTGTGAGGCAGTGTAGTCTAGGACTCTGGTCTTGAGAGCACTGTCCAAGATGCTTTCCATCTTGTCACTGCTGCTGAGGGTGGCGGCCAGCTACTCTTCCTGCACTGCTCATGTACTCTGAGCTGCCGTGGAGGACCTTGTGAGTTAGTGCCTGTGTCCAGGGAGCCGTCAGAGGCACTCAGCATTTGTAGAGAGAATGTGGTGCTGACAGGATGGACAGGAGTATTGACATCCGTGGGTGCTCAACGTGTGGATGTGAACTTGACAGAAACCATTTTAACAGGCCAGGGGATGAAACCACCTTCAGGTTATTTTGTGGCGGCAACGGTGAAGGCCAAGGGACTTCCTGGTCCTTTGTTGTCCTGGGCTCCTACAGGAACACCCCTGGCTTGTAGGTCTCAGGGCAGTCATTTGAGACAGGCAAGACTGATGGCTTCGACGCGTTTCTTTTCTTGAAACAACGTTAATTTGTCCAGTTTTGTGGCTTTTTTATGTGGAACAGCATTAGATCATCCAAGCTTGTGGTTTATTTGAAAACGAAATTCCGGTAAGTCTTTCGCACCATCTGGCAGTGTGGTGATTGGCTGTAAGTTAGGAACAAGCCACTGAGCACACAAGAAAACAAAGTGACAAAAGCCACCAGGAACAGAGAGGTTCTTGTAATTTCTCTGCCCAGATAAACCCACAGGAGTCTTTGAGGATGGATCTGTCCCCTTGAACAGAGCTGGAACCTGTCACTCTTGAGGTGGGAATCCATTTCTCTCAGTTCCTTGGGGCAAGTAGAATACCTCTGCTCAAGAGGAGCCTTACATTCTTTCTACAGAACTAGATCACCTCCGAGGGCACACACAGGCTCTGGAAACCAACACGAATGACCAGGAGAGAAGACACAGCTAAAGACCAGTAGTTGACTCTTTGGAATATAAAAAACATGACTGAGCCGGGCGGTGGTGGCGCACGCCTTTAATCCCAGAACTCAGGAGGCAGAGGCAGGTGGATCTCTGTGGGTTCGAGGCCAGCCTGGTCTACAAAGCGAGTTCCAGGAAAGGCACAAAGCTACACAGAGAAACCCTGTCTTGAAAAACCAAACAACAACAACAACAAAAAAAAAAACATGACTGAGCCCGAGTCCCCCGGGGACATAGCAGATGCCACTCTAATTTAGCTGTCTGTCGTGTCCACAGGTTCTTCACTGGTGTCTATAATGTACACAGATTTTCACCCCTGTGCCGACTGTGTGGATTGACTGTCCTAGGCACAGAAGAGCGAATGTGGGCCGGATAAATATGACCATTGTGTTTGAAGAGTTCATGTCCGAAATGACAGACGTTTCCCAAGCTGTATCATTTAAGATAATTTCGAACACAGGAGGCATCGTGCAGGGACGAGGAAGCAGCTGTGAGGAGAATGAACGCAGGGACGAGGACCTTTGCTTGGTAGATTGCAAGGAGGCTCCAGGGCTGCTGACCTCTGATCAGAAACCTCATGGTGAGATGTGCGAAGGGTGGAGGGGCGGAGGGTGTCTTGGAATGGGGAGTGGGGCACTTGAGAGGGCAGCCTGGGGGGGACACCCTGGGGGGTGGCCTGAGGGGGCAGCCTGAGGGGCAGCCTGAGGGGGGCGGCCTGAGGGGCAGCCTGAGGGGGAGCCAGCTTGGAGGGCAGCCTGCTGAGATGGTTCCAGAACACTGTGGGATGAGGTAGGAAAGGGAGGCAGGGGCCACACCCTTGGCTGTCACACAGGGAAAAGGCATGGCCCAACTGACAGGTCACTGGGGGAAATGGATTGCAGATCAGCAGAGGGACAGAGGAGACAGAGGTGGCTTGAGAGTGGGTACAGGAGAAAAGGTGTCTTAGGCAAAGCGCTGACACAGTTGATGTGGCGGAATAAAGCAGCCGTGACATAAGGATGCTCCCAGGTCCTCCAGGTTGAGCCACTGGAGCAGGTGGAGATTCCAGTTGCTGAGAGTGGGGAGGCGGGAGAGGGATACGCTGTTTGAGGCAAAGGTTTAAATGCAAGTTTTCATTATGTGAAGTCTGAGATAATTTGATACATCTAAGTGGAAATAGGAAGTATATTTTCTAGAGTTCAGCAGAAAAAAATAAACAAAGGAGTGATTACCATGGCACTGATCACTGGACCCAGGAGAAGCAGGGCTCTGATCTAGCAGAGGAAGCCAGTAAACACCCTAAAGGAAGAATGTTAAGGGTCTCTCACACCCTGGAGACTGGGAAGAGAGGACATGGTGTGCCTAACCCACATATGTATGGTGACCCCAGCCTACTTGTGTATGGCCTCCAGCCCCTATCACCCCCTCCACAAAGTGTACCCCTTGACTACCACTCGTGAATGAGTCTGGACTAAGTCCCAGGCTTTGGAAATCAGACCCGAGCAGTTAGGACAGGAATCCCAGAGCCTCAGCGCTCTGGAACATCGTGTACAGGGGATAATTTATGGGTTGGTCAGGCATGTCACTAAAGACTATGGACTCTTCGCTGCCTGGATGATGGTTAGAGCAGGTGATGCCAGAGCTGGAACTTTTAAAGCTTGACCCACCAGACAAGGGCCTTTGGTACTAGACAGGGGCAGCATTGCACACGTGACATGCATTGGGGTGACAGGCTGTGGCTCTACTGTCTGGTGTGCAGGTCATAGGAAAGAACCCTGGGTCACTCCTCCTGCTGGCCTGTGACTCACCACTGCAGTGTCTACCTCATGGTCAGCACCTAGTTCCACACTGACCTTGTCACGATGGGAGTGAGCAGCCTTGTTCAGTTTGCCTCAGCTCTTGTTGTGGGAGGAGGAAGTAAATAGGGTGTGGGAGAAAGGGAGAATCCAGGACAGATGGGCTCACCCTCCTTCCTCTGCCGAGTTAGTCAGGCCAGAGGCATGGGAAGCTCGGGGCTACTCATGGGCATTTAACCTCAGAGGGGTTGGTACAGGTGCTGGGACAAGCCATCCCTCAAGCTGTGCTTACTCGGGACATTCCACACAGCAGGGGTGTGCAGAGACATGAAGGACAGCATGCTTTCTGTTTGTCTGTCTATTTGAGACTCAAGCCCATCCGTTCAGGTGCTGAGGACAAGGGTCCGTGTACTTTGACCCCCAGGGCTAGGAGTTAGCAAGAATTGGTCAAGGGCTCTGAGGTTAGGGCTGCCTTCTGAGCTTGGTGAGGCAGGAGAGAGGGGGAAAGACACCTTATCTCAGTTTTTGTGAGTGAGGTCACCATTTGGGGAGGCTAGGAACCTGAGAATGAGTTGTCCTTGGGTGTTCTCAGCAGCCCATCCTTCCAGAACCAGGACTATTGACAGTCAGAACCAAAGTTCTTCTCTATACACAGGGCTTGGACACGATTGGCTAGAGTCAAGGTCATTCTCCAGGCAAAGCATATATTGTCTTCTCAGAGACTCAGAGCCGGTAGTCTTCCTACCAAGTCCAGGACTGGTCCCTGTCATATGTGCTGTCTGAATAGTTAAACCTGTAGCATTCACCCATGTGAAACAGACAAATATTGGGTGTTATGGGGCTTTAGTGTTTGTGTGACATGAATGTCCTTCTCTGCCTCTTCATCTTTTTCCTCTTCCTTTTCTCCTTCTCCATTTCTTTTCTTCACAGCAACCATAATATCCCTGTAGTTAAGCCAATGGGGGAAAAAGTAGGCCCGTCAGGGGAAGGTCTGTGAGCCAGGAATGAATCAATGTGTCATTCCAAACCCTACTGGTGGCTTACTTTGTGGCCTTGGGCAAGTCACCCAATCTGGCCACTGCTTCCATCTAAACTGAGAAGCAAACTGAAAAGAGGCTGGGAGAAATCATCAGCTTGGTAGAAAGATTTGAACAGCTTGGTTCCATTTGCGCACTAACGACCTCTTTCTATTTAGGAGGCTTTGGCCCCTCTCCTGGTTCACTTTTGATAGTGGATGGATTTGCAACTAAATGGAGCTCTCAGCAGCCTCTGTTGAACATTCTAAAAGCCTGTGGTCCAGCCTCTTTCTGATGTGACTCAAAGAGGCTTTCATCAGGACTCAAGTCAAGACCTCTTTGCAGCAAGTGTTATGTGAGAAAGAAATTAAGCTATATTCCTCTTCAAATTAAGGCAACAGGAAATGTGTGTTTTTAAATTGTGGTCTTGAACTTCATAAGTTCATTTACTTCAGAAGACTGGCCTGCCTCCAGGGCTTTGCTCAGTGTGGCACATACTGAAAATGCCTCACACATGCTTATGGCCTGATATATGAACACATGGATGCCTAAATCAGAGAGAGAAAAGGAAACTCTTCTTGAGTTTTATTTTGTAATTAAATTTAACCAGAATATTCAAGACTGGGGATCAGTCCCTAGGCATATTTGATGTTCTTGGGCATTTTCTTTTACTTTGATTAGGTTCAAGTTCTGCTGGGATTGAGATGAAACCCAAAACAGATGCTCTGTGGAGCATCCTGGGTGCCATCTCTGTAAGGCACTAGTCTGGGTGCACACAGGGAAGAAAAAGACATTGAGCACTATGGCATGAGCTGAGAGGCCCCTAACCAGCAAGGCTTAACATGCTCAAAATGATCTAGATGCTGAGATTGTCTGTATTGACACAGGAAGTCATGCCATTCATCCATCTTTTGGATCAGTTTATCAGATTCACTGGGCCTAGAGGAGAGTCACCAGTTGATGTACACCCCAGAGCAGCCACTTCAGAGCAGAGACTAAGGATGTTCCAGAAGATTTCGTGCAAACTCATAGACCTCATCTTTCCATTCCACCACGAGGACCCTGAGGGTACATCCTTTCTTCATAAGCCCAGACACCATCTCTAAGAGAAGCAGGTACAGGGGCAGGTCTCTGAACAGCTATATTAGTGACTTTTCTTATTACTGTGACCAAATACCTGATAGAAAATACTCGGGAAGGAGTGGTTGACTTGGTTCACAGTTACAGAAGATCTAGTTGGCCCTGGTGGAGAGGCGGGGCAGCTGAAGTGGGGCTGTCTGTGGTGGTGGCAGGAGCTTGCACTGAGGGTTTCTCACATGACGCTGACCAGGTAATGCAGATGGGATGGGAAGCTGGGACGAGCAGTAACCTTCAAGGCTCACTCCTAGTGCTGTGATTCCTGGTGCCAGCTAAGGTCCCACAATTCCCCAGTATAGGGACACCAGCCAAAGAGCAGCTGAACAACACAGGAGCCTTTAGGGGGTATTGCAAGCCCCAAACCACTGACAGCAACAAGGTGTTTTATGTCTGGGACAGAACAACCTCCTTAAGAGGTGGCTTAAACAGTGATTCTAGACTAACCTTATTGTATTGTCTAAAAGCTATACCAAATGCTTTCAACAAGAACATAAAACAAAACAAAACAAAACAAAACAAAAACCAAACCTTTCTTCTGGCTAATTTGAATTATATGATATAGTACTGTTAACTCTGATTATGCATTGATAACAATATAGTTATGTTCAATTAAAAAGAAACAAAGATATAAGCAGATTCTCAGGACCCATTCCATACCTAGCCAGTCAGTGCATGTGGGTTTGGCAGATTGACAGGTGATCCCTATGCACATTAAGTAGGAGATGTGCTGATCTGTAGTCCAGGACCATGGCTTGACCCTTTCTCATCATCCTGCACATCTTACTATGTCCAGGGTAAGTCTGTGACTTGACCTCATTTGGATAAAAATAAAGAGAAAACTGAAGAGAAGGGTGGGGAGCCTCCAGCACCCTCTGAGTCAGGGACCCAGGAAATCTGAGCTGCTCCTGAGGTCTGTTCACAGGCCAACGCCCTCCGTTGACAGCTGTTCTGTTGAGGAGGCTTCTAAATCAAGTCGGAGGGCCTAGGAAAGGGGGAGGGGCCAGTTCAGCTGTGTCTGCCAGGAGTGACAGAGGAGAGACTACCTACCACATTTGCCACTCCTGAAGCTATAGATGCTGAGGGAGATCAATTAGGAAAGAGCCCTGGATCTCCCTGAACAGAATTTGCAACACGGAACATAATTGCTTTCTGTTTCCTAAGCAAAATCTATCCACGATGGAATGGCTTCGTAGCCAGCCTCCTTCATCCCAGGAGAAGGGGGGGAACTCTAATTCTCTAGAAAGCCTCCTTAGGCTGAGATCTTCCATTTGGCCCCATGCACCTTAACATGGCCAAGGAGGATTCTGCTAAGCACAGCACCAGGAAAGCCAGTTGTCAGACGCATGCTCCGCCACTGGTGAACAAACACCCTGCTGTCGTAAACTGCAAAAGGAGCTAACTCTACAGAATCCAAGTCTCCTGGGAATGTGATTATCAAATTTTTTTTCCAAGTCAGATGTATCTTTTCTTTAAAGTGTATTACTTTAAAAGAAATTTCAAATATTCTTTTAAAATCAGATGTCTTAGTTCTTCCCCTTCTTTTCAACAGTGTGGTAAGAGTGATATACTAGAAGTTGGGGGTACACATGCTCCAACATGACCCTCCTGGGTAGATGTCTCAAGATATTTATACATCTCCCTACACCTCAGTGCACTGGTGACTTATACACACTCAGTAATCAATACAAGTGCAAAGGAATCACCCCCATTCTCCTCTCAAAGTCTTGGGGGTTTGAGTACATGTTATTGTTAACGGAGAGGTTTGTTTCATCTGTGAGATTCTCAGGCCTCCAGCAGATGCGGCTGTGGGATGATGATGATGAATGGGTGCTAAGATCATCTTTCTGTCCTGGATGATTTCATGGCACAGAGCACCCTGGAAGCATGAGAGGAGGCCACAAGTCCCCCAGAAGTCCCTGGCGTCTCCAAGGATACTAGAGTCCCTAAATAAATTGTGGTATTGAGGAACCTAAATAGGAACAGAAGCACAACCTGAATTTAGCTCCCAGAGCACCCCCAATGGCAAAGATAAACAAGAAAGACCTCCCACTGACCATCCCTGGACCATCCCAGCTAGGTCACAAAAGCACAGAGAGATGCTTTCTCCACCACCCTCCCTGCTAGTAGGGTTGGGGTGATGGTCCTGGAGTCCCTAGTCCACCTTCTGTTGGAAGGGGACTCACGTCACTCACAGGCTAATGCTTTTACCAAGGGTGCTGTGGTCAGAAGTGTCCCCTCGAATCCAGATCCCTGTGTAAAGCCCTAAATTCCCATATGGCAGTATTTGGAGACCTTGAAAGAGGGCTCCAAGGCTAAATGAGATAAAAAAAAAAAAAAAAAAAAAAAACGATGTTTCTGATCCAGTATGACAGTGTCTATGGATCTGGGCACATAGGCAGAGAGCATGGGAAGACGTTGAGAAGGCTGGTTTCTGCACACTGGGAGCAGAGTCCTCAGAAGAAACTGGATTGCCCACTCTTTGTCATGGGCTTCCAGAGCAGTGAAAAAACACGTCTCTGCTCTTGGAAGCACCAGTTTGAAGTATTTCATCATAGCAGCCCTAGTAGGCTACCACAGGACCGTTCACGAGGCCACAGCTGTCGCAGTCCCACAGATCAGCTAGGGGTTAGTGCCTGGAGCTGAGTCACTTCTGATAGGTGGGGTGGGAAAGGGAGAGAAAGCGAAGGTCCCTGGGCCATTTCCAGCTGCCAGCTCGCTCTGAAGGCGGAGAACAGGGATAGCAGATGGGAGTGTGTTGAGTCCCTTCTGCAGGTGAGTCACAGGGCATCTGGGCACACAGTCATCTTCCAGCCTCTGAGCTTCACATGAGAACCATGTGAGGTTGGGGGTAGCTAGGGAAGGCACGCTAGACTCAGCATCCCTCTTGTCTTTGCCCTCCATGGCCTTTGTTCTGTCTCTCCCTTGGTTGTCTTTTTATAGCCAAACTCACCATCAAAGGGTGCTGGCCACAAAGCTCACCTCTCTGCTGGTTACCCATCTCTGCCTCTTCAGGGTGATGGTGACTTCATACCTTTTCTGCAGACACTCTCATTAAAAGGAGTCCCACATTTGCAAGACCCTCAGCACCTTCCCCTAGCATCGGGGCTTCTTGCTTACACAGCTGGGTGAAGCTTGGGACTCTTAGGTCACACAGAACATGGCTGGCCGCTTGGGTTGTCTGCAATGTTGTCGGGTGTTTTCCTGGCTGTCCTGTCTCCTCACTGTGGAATGCCTTGGTCAGGATGCTCGCACTGGAAACCTATCAGGTACCAACTGTTCTGGGAACCTGATGCTTGCCCAGAGGAAGACAGTGGCTGTAGTCTCCCATGGATGCTTTGAGGGCACTGTGGTTCCCTATGGCTTTCCAGTTCTTACTCCATTCTCCTCCCAGTGAAGGAAACAGGGTTCTTTCTTCTCTCTCTCTCTCTCTCTCTCTCTCTCTCTCTCTCTCTCTCTCTCTCTCTCTCTCACACACACACACACACACACACTCACTCACTCACTTGTCATGTGTTTTCTAGCTGTGGATAAAACCGTGACGTCAACAATGGTTTACCAAAGCTTCTGTTGGCACCTCCCGCTGTCCCTTCCCTCTCCGCTTGGCTGGGCACCACAGCGGCAGGAGTCTGGAACGGCTTCCCAGCTCCCAGCATGGGACACACACATGCTCCGAAGCGTGAGGAGCAGTATTAACCTCTTAGGAGATTTTCCCAGAGCAAATGAGACAGTTATGGAGTGTTAACTTCTGTCGCTTCTTGCCTTCATCTTTCACTGTTTAGAACCAGCCACTTGGCATGAGCAGGATGAAACAGAAATCCAAGATTTCTCTATATATTCTCTGCTAGATTGTCATTAAGATGGAAGCTTCTTTGCCACCCAGAGGAACTGCGGGGATCAAGCATATGACAATAAAGCTCCTGCATGGTCGCACGCCTTGGCTATTTATACTTCAGATTTCAGAGAAAGGACCAACACTTCCCATACAGACAGTCCATTCCCCCTGTCTCCTGATTCAGCTGGCCACAGAGCACCACAGCTACATACAGGGGCAGGAATGGATGCATTCCAGCTCGCTGGGGTTTGGACCGGCAGCTCTCATCCCCAGAGAAGGGATTCTCTGTGGAGGCTGAGCTGGCAGTGCTCAAGCTTGCCTTGTGGTTGGCACGTAGGCCATCAGAAATCATCTGTGCACCATCCTGCCAGGCTGGGGCCATCCTAGGGGGCAGGGATTTATTGCTCACACAGGAACAAAGAGAAGCCATCTCCTTCACTCAGATTCGCAGGCACCTTTTGTGTACAGGGACTGCTATTGCCCCAACCAGTTCAATATCTAACTTATCATGCCTGCATTCTTCCCCAGCAGTTCAGGCCTGTCTCTGCTAGGAACAGGTGCCAAATTGGAGTATGGAATTTTCCCGGCAGGCCTCAGTGACGGCTCCTGCCAAGGCGACTGTGGTAGAGTCAGGGAATAACTATCGAACCACAGATCTGGAAGGCAAGACCAGGCCACCCTTTCGGCTTGAGTCAGCTCAGGTACAGGCTGTCCCTTGAGGAAAGACTCCCCAGTGCCAAACCCAGATGAGGACTGCAAGCAAGGTTGGTTCTCACTAGGCAACTTCCCAGAACTAGGCCAATCAGGCCCTGTGAGGACAAAGGAGAAAGGCCTTTCTGGGAAGGCCACAGCAGGCTCTGCCCGGGAAGAGCAGCAAAAGCCACATGATTTCCAGGGAAGCCCCAGACACCTGTATTAGTGAGTGTCTGAAGTGAGATCCAGACCTTTGTGGATGCCAGGAAAGAAGCTGCTCTGTTCTACACAGAAGCAGTCCTGGAATTCAAGACAGCAAGACAAAGTCGGTGATACCACAGAGCTGAGGTCAAAAGTCCATGCTGGGCTCAGTAGGCAGAGTGTTGGAGGGCCTGAGTTCAGTCTCCCAGAATTCACTGGGGAAAAGCTGGGTGTGGTGGCACACATGTGTAATCCCAGGGATGGGGAGGCAGAATGAGGTGAACCCCTGGGGTTCACACTCCAGCTAGCCTAGACCAGCTGATGAGTTCAGGCCAGGGAGAGACCCTATCTCAAATGATAATGACAACAAATAAAAATCCTAAGGTGGACAGCACCTGGGAAATGGCAGCTGTATTCTCCTGATTCTGTATGCAGGGGCACATGTGTATGCTCACCCCTATACAAAGTACCCCCTCTCTCCCTCCATCCCTCCCCCATCTCTGTTTCTCTGCAAGCCAAACGAATAGACATGGAGAAGCAATTATTCTTTTCTTCTCTGTGGTGTGTGTATGGCAGATGCACATGAGTGTGTGGGTTCACGTGCCCTGTACGCCCATGAGGAGCCGGTCTAGAACCGGGTAAGGTGTTACTCTGAATCTTATCCCCTGAGATAGGTTCTCTCACTGGACAAAAAGCTCGTATTTTTGGCTGTGCTGACTGGCCAGTGGCCAGCAAGCTCTCAGGATTGACCTATCTCCACCTGTCTGATGCCAGGGTTGCAGACACATGGCAGTCACATCTAGATTTTCACAAGGGTGCTGGGCATTCGAACTCATGTCATTATACTTGAAGAACAAGTGCAATTACCCACTGAGGCACCACCTCCAGAGCCTCAAAGAAGCAAGTTCTTTGGAGCCCGTCAGTAATGGATCAACACTGCCAGCACTGTCCTATAGAGCCTGGGTCTCCTTACCTGTGGAAGGAGCCCCGCCCACAGCCAACGTGGCAGGCTGCACACCTGGATGGGTGGGAGATTTGTGACTACATTCCTTTCCTCTTTCTGGGCCCTGAAATCTTGACTACAGTTCTAAGACCACTTCCAAGGTCGTTGGTGATGAAGCTTTTGGGGGGGGGGCTCAGCCATGGGGACAGGAAAGCGAGCCCCTGCTGTGGCTTTGACTAGTAGCGGTGTTACTTCATCTGAAGATTTCACTGGCTTCATGAAGACGCTCACTTCCACTACTTTTCTTCTTTTTTGTACATTTCTTTAATAGGATTAAAAGCTCTCTGGCTTAAAGCCTGAAATTGCTCTTAGGATGAAAACCAGATTCTGCGGATCTACAGGTATCATAGTGTCAAAGACTCTTCTGCTGGCAAATGATGAGGTTTTAGTCACTGTGGAAAGGGTAAAGAGTGTTAGGACTAGCCAATGCCCTTTCCTTTATTCATTGCTATTATTTCCCTGATGGCTAAAGATGCTGACCCCTGTTTTCCTTCAAGTCTCTTGTCTTTTTCCTGAGAGCTGTTTATTCACTTGTCTGTTTATTGGTGGGAATATTTGGAGTTTGGGGTGTGTGACATTTGGGGTTCTTCATACACCTACAGTTAACCTCCTGTCAGATGTCATTAGCGAGAGTTTTCTCTCATTCTTTAGGCTGTCTCCTCACTGATTGTTTCCTTTTCCACGGAGAAGGTTTTGAATTTCTCACAACCCCATGTGTCAGTTCTGTGTGACTCAAGTCACTTTCCGAAGCTGGACTGTTTCCCTACACGTTCCTCTGTGGTTTCAGAGTCCAGGGTCTTCCAGGACTGGAGTTTCATTCAGAGCGCCGTCTGCTGAAGTTCCTGGGCCTTTTGTTCTTGGGATTTTGTTTGTTTGTATGTTCTTGCTTTTGTTTGTGTGTTTTTGTATGTTTGTATGTTCTTGTTATCTAATGTATGTTTTTAACATGTTTGTTGTTTTGAGACAGGGTTTCAGCCAGTAGCTCAGGGTGACCTTGAGCTTGTGATGGAATCCAGCCTTTTCTCAAGTCCTGTGATCCCTCGACTGCCCTCCCAGTGCTGGGGTACAGGCGAGCATGGCCACTCCCAACTATGACTCTGTTTCCCCCGTTGGAAGTTTTGGAAGGTCTCAGATGCCAGGCTCATCTCCTGTCATCTTCTTTTTTCTCTTCACTCATTCTCCATCATGTGTGGCTTCAGCTGGAGCCTGGGACTCCATCCTAAGATACTGCAAACATGTCTGTATATCTGGTGGAAAGATCTCTGAGGTATCTGGAGATGAAAAGTAAGAAATTACTGGTCTATCGCTCTCTATTTAGAGACCCTGACAGCCCAGATGTGCCCTCAGGAAACCTGGCTGTTGCAAACAGAAAACAGAAAGGGCAGAATTTGGGTCTAAAAACACAAACAGAAACACTTATGGAGAAGCCATCTTTAGAGAGTATAACATCTGAAAATGTAAAAAAGCTGAATCAAACACATGGATGAAACTAAATAAAATATAAGTGCTAACTTTTGTCACTTAATTCTTCCAAAGCTCTGGATTGGAGGTAAGAGAGAAGGCTTGGAGCCACTGCCTGGCAGCTGGGGCTGACAAACTGGATTTGGATTTGGGGCCCATTAGCTTACAATGCTGGAATATTGGCTTCAGGCCACGCAAGTTCCCCATTTTACAGGTTCATGAAGCATGTGTCCACGAGAAGCTATACTTTCAACTCAAGATGATGGAGGAGGGAAGAAAATCTATCTCATAACTGAGTAAACAGTTACCAACGGATGTGGCAAGTAGAAACCCAAAAATAAAACAATAAACCAGAAAAGCTGTTAGAATCTGCTGTACGGGGCCATGCTCTGGGCTCATATGTTCGAAGCCTCTGTACCCAGTTGACAGTGCGGCTTCTGGAAGCTGTTAACTTTGGGGAGGTGGGACCTCACGGGGTGTAGCCCGGCACTGCTTCCAGCCCCAGTCTGTGCTTCCTGGTTCCTGAGATAGGAGCAGGTGGTTGCAGGACCCATGGCCAGAGACACTAGAGAGTAATGGTAGAGAATTTGGATCTTTGGGAAACTATGAAGGCTGTCTTAGGAGTCTACCTCTGAAACACCATGGCCCAAAGCAGCTTGGGGAGGAAAGGGTTTATTTCACTCACAACTCTTACTGAGGGAAGTCAAGGCAAGAATTCAGGGCAGGAACCTGGAAGCAGGAACTGAAACAGAGGCCATGGAGGAGTGCGGTTTGCTGGCTTGCTCCTACGACTTGCTCAGCTTGCTTTTGTATACCACCCAGAACCACCTCCAAGGGTAGAACTATCCGTATGTAGTGAGCTGAGTTCTCACACATCAATCATTAACCAAAACAATATCCTACAGACTTACCTGCAGGCCAGTCTTACAGAGGCATTTTTCTCAGTTAAAATTCCCTTTTCCCAGATATGTCTAGGTTTGTATCAAATTGACAAAAACACCCAACCAACACAGAGGAGGTTTTGATAGAGGAATGACTTGCATTTAAGTTATGTTTGGAAAGAGCATTATGCTGTACTTTTGGGTGGGTTATGCAAGTGAGACCGTAAAGTAGGAGCACTGTGGGCAGTTCGCTGACTGTGGCCACAGGACCAGGATGGCAAGAGAGAAGCAGAAAATTCTGGAACAAACCTCCTCAGTCTGTCCATATGCCTTGGCTGACATCCCATCTATTTCTTTAACTGTCATCTTCTCAGAGACCTTTCCTGGTCCCCAAGCATGCACACTGATGTGATGGCCTATGGAGAGGGAGGTATCATAGAGGGAAAGACACACTGAGTGTACTGCAGGGGAGCAGTGGCTGTTCAACCTGTCTGAAGAAGAACACAGGGCCAGGCGTCCCTGCCAATCCCCATCTGACTCGTCAAATCATCAAAAAAGCAAATAACAAAGCAAACAGACATCCCATGGACATCAGTGGGCCACTGCAGACAGCCAGGAACCTCTGATTACAGCACTTATGCATCTCTCTCAGACCACATTAAATGACCCCAGTGACATGCTAGGTGGCCATTACCATGCAAATGCAGTTTCTCCTTCTGTTGAATGGGGCCTGAAACAGCTTTACCTCACATGAGGCAGCGATTAAGTGCATTAATTGTGTAGGTCTGGTGCTGCATTAAGTTTCATGTCCTGACATGACAGTGTGAGGGACATGGAGAGTTCTGGATTTTCTGGAGAATGGCACCTTGGTTCACACAATCAATGACACCATGTTGCTTGATCAGGCTGCAATGATTCACCACCATCACTGTCAGCCTGACTGGGTTTGGATTCACTTAGGAGACACACCTCTAGGCATGTCTGTGAGGGTGTTCCAGGGGGCTTTATTTGAGGGGGGAGACCCACCCTGAATGTGCAGCAGGAGTCCCTGAGAGAGGGAGGCAAGGGGAAATTTGTTGGAGCTATGTGGTCTGGAGCAGGCCAAGATTCACAGCACAGTAAAAGACACAACTTTGTATTTCATATATCCCACTCAGGAAAGAAGTACATGTGTGCATGTGTGCTCATGCACACACACACACACACACACACACACACACACACACACACACACACACCAGTAATAGCAAATAAAGATTAAAAAATGAAAGTAGTATTAACAATAGTTTCTCAGGAAGCACATTTCACTCACACTGGAGAATTCTGGTATAACCAATTTAGTGGCTGTTATGGGGCTGTTAGCTCTAAGAAGGGCCCAGAGCAAGGAAGGGCCAAGTACCAGGTCTGGGCCAGGCTTCCCTTCTATTTGGGCAATATGACGGAGGAGACTGATATGAGAGACAGCTCTGATAAGAGATGTCACTAGGTATTTGGGACAAGGACAGTCAGATGGTCACAAAGAAGAACATCCAGGCTCTAGAACAAGGCGGAGATGTGTGTACCACTCAAAACCCAGCACATCAAATCCTACTTGACTGAGCGGGAGCGGAGACAGAAAGTGAGGCGTAGTCACCAACGCTGGTTCTTCAGATCTGGGTCCTGGCCGACTGACACAACAAAACACACGATCTGACTGATCTCACACTACGGTGAGAAGGAAGGCCACACATTAAGCCACAAAGATGGTGACTTGGGCCCTCACCTCATCACTGCTGTCTGGCTCTACCCTGTTCCTCTATTTGAGCCTCTAACTACTTGAGGATCCTAACTTAGGATCCAGAGAGAGACCAAGAGATGAGCTGAGTTTCACTCAAGACTGGGCTAGCTCAATTTATGACATAAGCCAAAAATGGATTGCTGCTACATAACTCTGAGGGCACCCCCACCCCCCCACCCCCCCACTCCCCCATCCTCCACCCCCCACCCCCCCACCCCCCCACTCCCCCATCCTCCACCCCCCACCCCCTCACCCCCCTACCCCCCACCTCCACCAAAAACCAAGACCAAACAGAACTCAGCAGTGAGGCTGAAGAGGTGGTTGGCGACAAAGCACTTACTGTGTAAGTATGGGGCCCAAGTTTGGAGAGTTTGAAACCCCAGAACCCAGGCAAAGTCAGGCACAGTAGCTCATGCACACTGTCGCAGAGTTCTTAGGGTGGATGGAAGGTAGAATCAGCAGAACTCACAGAAGCTCGGAGGCCAGCCAGCCTGGTGCACACAGCAGCAGATAAAGAGACCCTGTCCCAAACAAGGTGGAAGATGAGGACAGACACTCAGGCTGCCCTCTCACCTCCACACACATGTAGTGGCATGTGCACTCCTGCATTCACACACACACACACACACACACACACACACACACAAACCCAGCATACATTGAAATACTTCCAACAGGCAGAACTTTGGGTGGGCAGAGGCTGACCCTAATCAACCACTTCCTGTAGAGTAGGTGTGGCTCTTTGGTCATGGGCCTGGGAAGAGAAAACTGAAAGAGTGGAATTCTGGGAAAGAAACTCAGGACTTCACAGAATTGAACACAAGGTGTAAAAATGTTTATATCCACGTTCTTACCTACCAGACAACAAAAGTACCCAGAATGCCTTAGCTGTTGGCATTAGCACACCTCTGTTTGGCCACATCAATGTTGGCACAATGGATATATGCGTAAAATGTAAGTGTTTATGCAGTGTGACTGAGACTGCTCATGATCTCACCGGCATGGGCTACCACTCACCAAGTGTGAGTTATATCTTCCCAAGGCTTAGTGTCTAATCTTTGAGCCATAGACACCAATGTCAAGGTTCTAATGTAACCCCATCTCAAAAGGTCAGTTAGCTATGTGATAGACCCCTTCCCCCTGGAAGGGATGTGGCCGTGTTTGGCTGACAGTATGTCTTTATTCCCTACAGGGTCTTGACCTGCACCACTATGTGAAGAGTCATAGTGTATTTGATCTGATCCATGGGCTTTAGGATCTTGTGAAACAATGCAACTGGTTCAGGAAACCCAAATGGATCTCATTTGAGGACACAGAGGTGTAATTCTTGGGTTCTACTCCAGATTTAATGAAGGAAACTGAGGCAGACCCAAAATGTACTGTTCCAGGTCATCCTAAAGAACACTAGAGTTAGGGAACCACTGCTTAATACTAAAGGAGATGCCTCATGGAGTGGGCACATGACCAGGGTGCCACACAGTGTGAAGCAAGAAGCACTGCCTGGCAGTGGTGATTTAAAAAAAAAGCTGCTGCCTGGCACAGACAGGGACTGTCCTGTAGGACACAGCACAGCTGCTCTCAGGACCCAGGAGAGATTTAAGCCATATTGAGAGTGACTGGGGTGACTATGCTCTCCATCCTCCCAAGGATAACCCATAGCTGATACCACCCTGAACTCTCAGGAGGGACTGATGCTAAGATTACTACTATAGTGGATACCTTAGGGCATTAAACTTTCATTTCCCTGGAGAGACCTCATTGGGAATGGCGGCCATCAGTCAGTGAGCACTGAGCTGAGCTGTGCCCCTGACAGGCAGAATAAATGAGTCTGGGAAGTAAGGGCTGGGAATACCAGTGACTGTGATGACCATGGCTTCCCATGACTCACTTGGGAAAGTTGTGCTTCTGCTCCTACAACTCTGGGCTTTTTGGGAGGCTGGAGGGCTGGCTGGCTTCCAGCAAAGAGGAGTAAAATGAGAGAGAAGCATTCTGTCTGGAGAGAAATAGAGGAGGATGAAGGAAGGTTTAGAGTGATGACTATGTAGCCATCACTGGGAGCAACCGCTGGATGGGTGTTAGGACACAGGTCTCCAAACCCAGGAGGATGGACGTTCTAGATGTATGGAAAAGTCAGTTGAGACCGTGGAAAACCAACTCCTGGAGTGATGAGCTGTTGGTGACAGGCAGTGCTGGGAGCCCTTCTGAGGCTTGTGGTCCTGGTTTTAAGGAGTCTACTCATCATACTTCTGCATTCTCCCCCAGCAGGTTGTCGGCACAGAAGAGGGGAAAATCAGGACCCTGGTGGGCTAGAGAGGAAGATGAGGAAGACAGAGAGGAAGAGAGCTCTGAGATGCTTGAGAATTGTTTCAGGGACTTGCTCTGAGGAGGGAGGGGCGATATG